GAAATAATTCCATAATTGATCCTAATAATTATGATATAGCTTAAATAATATTGGTAAGTGATTAATAATGTTGAAAGTCGCTTTTCTGACGAAAAGTGCAGATACCGGTTCTGCTACTCGGTATAAGTGCGTACCGATGAAGTATCCCGGAAAATTATAATAAGTGCATGAATATTCTTAGAATGATATATAGGACTGTGATTTCAAGTTTCAAGTTAAAATAATGAGAACTGGTGCCAGAACTGATTGTGGCTATGAAAAAGCGCGTACGGTGCTGCGAAAAATAATATAAAAATATGATTAATCCTAGAAAAATGAGTAGGTTCAAAATCTAAAGTTTAAGATTAAAATGCTAAGCGTAGCTATTATTGGTAATACAATGTGTTTAACTTAATGGACCTATAAATAGGTATTGGGCCCAAAATCCTAGGCCATATTTTGTGCCTACGTGAGTGTTGGTGGCTGATTCTCTTCAGCCATTTCTCTTTTTCCTCACCAAGCCATTTCCTTTCCTCCATTGAGACTACTCAAGACTTGACTTTTATGATAGATTCTTCACCTCTAAGCCTTTAGACACTTGGGAACAACCTTGAGGGTGTGAAAAGGACCTTGTTCTGAGAAGGCAAGCTACTGTTTGGTGGAAGTTTTTGCCGAGTTTGAGTGTTTGGTTGGGTGAGGCCTGTGTCTTGGCATTTGAGCTCCAAGTTGTGAGCTTTGTGAAGAAAAACATCATCTTGTGGTGTCAAATTCGTGGGCCTTGGTAGTCTGTGCTGTGGGACTGTGTTAGAAGCTCCAAGGAGGAGTCTTTTTCTGAGTTTGGAGCATTTGAGGTGAGCCATGATCACCTCTTTGTCATTTTGATGATTTAAACTTGTTTAATCGGTTAAAAAGTAAAACTTAGATCATTTGAGTAAAGGAATGTGTTTCTGAGTTCATAACATGTTAATATATATCTGTTTATGGAGTCATTGGACTCCAAATCACGTTTGGACCCTTAAAAATGGGATTGTGCAGAAGAATGCTAGAGTTTCTGCATTCTGTCTGATAAGTATTCGAATACTTTTCGTGTAGTATTCAAATACTTATCCCTTGGTAGTCGAATACTCCTTGCAGGAGTATTGAGATACTTTTCTGGGAAGAAAAGTTTTCGAATACCTTTGAAAAAGTATTCAAATACTGGAGAGTATTCGAATACAGTGAGTTTTGGTATTCGGATACTGTGGTATTCGGATACTTGGAATGTTGGTATTCGAATACCTTGTGGTATCAGGATATTTTCCGGACTACGTGTTGTAGATCCGTGATTTAGATACTCACTTATTTATCTATGAGGTAATTTAGTTAGCTGTCTTTTGCAATTTACATACAAGCAATGTTTTATGAAAATGATTAAGTAATCAACTTGGCTAAGTATAATGATGTCATAATTGAAAAGAAAAAGATAATCCGCATTTTTAATTAAGCGCGGCTTAATACGATGACATGTTAACAAACCGGGTATACACGGGGTGTTACACACCCCGTCTACATCCGGATTGTTATCATATTACAGTATTAAGCGCAACTCAATTTAAATGCAGAAGCTAAAATAATTTAAGTTATAAGACATGCAAGATCACTTTTTTCTTTTTAACATAATAATATAAAATCCATCTATATCCTTATGTAATTGCAAAACCACAAATAAAATCCTGAAATGCCTTAATATCATAAATAAATACTAAGTCATGAAGCTACATCGCGTAGTCATGACCAACGTCCATATCTTATGGCGTATACAAAACATAACATGTTCAACAATATCACAAATAAGTCAAAGGCATGGACAACCCCCATGCTCACAAACAAATAAAACATCCATAGTCTTGAAAAAACTTAACGTCATAGTAGTCTTATCTCAGGTACAATAATCATGTCCAAATGATATAAATAAAGCATGCATATAAATCAACTCTGCTCTGGCTTCTTGCCTCGGGAAGCATCCATCTCATGGACGTTTACACCTGAAAATATGTCCCACACGAGTGAGATCTCTAAAAAGAAATCCCAGTAAGCAAGGGTTCTCGAAGAGTTCCTCCGCCCCAAGCTCACTTCGGTATAACAGTTCAAATATAACAGTTTAACAATAATAGCATAATCACATGATGCAGCAACATATATATATATATATATATGATATATATATATATATATATATATATATATATATATATATATATATATATCATGCATGTGTGCTAACAAGTCTACTGGCCAGAGAACGGTATGATTTACACATATCTGCTACATACATAAGAAGTATAAGGCTCTTGCCTTATACCCACACTCAGGGAATACAGTCTTGTGCAGCTCCACACTACACTCATGTATTAGCCATCTTGTGTGTAATACCTCACATAACATACATATATAAGAGTGCATCATTTCATCATCTCAAATAATAGATAAACACATATACCATATAAAACTATCATCCCCCTCTTGGAGTATGGTGGAACAAATGGGGATTAACCCTGAGAACACGAAACTTACTTGCCAATAAGTATGATCAAGCTCAAGATCCAAACAGCAGCTCACAGATCACCAAACAATAGAATCAAGGTCTGTTTATACCAGAAATATAATTAATATTCATAGTCTATAAGCTTATTGCATTAGGACAATGTTTCCTTTTTCGTTTAATGACCGTAGGCTTCTCTCAAAGCCAAAAGCCTTCAATATTATTGGTTCTGACTTAATTAAATTATTCCAGAGGTTCATAACAATCATTTAAGGGTCCAGAAACCCAACCCACGCTTTTGTTTGGGTAAAATAGCTCAAAACATGACTTTTCCCAGAATATCCCGATATTCCTCGGAGACATATCTGGATATTCACAGACCCAATATCCGGATATCACATACCCAATATCCGGATATCACATACCCAATTTCCGGATATCCATATCAAGATATTCACAGACCCAATATCCGGATATCCATATCCAAATATTACACACCCCAATATCCGAAAATCCATATCCGGATATCACGAACCAAATATTCGGATATTTCGTGACAGAATGAATTTTTGCATTTTCGCGAAGATATCCCTTCAAGGTTCTATTTTTAACACTTCCAGACGTTCAAGCATGCATTTTTAGACACATTTAAGCAAGTGTTCGTGTTAGTTAATTAATATCTTCATTTAACATTCCAAGACTTGATCTTTTACATGAAAACTCAAGAACAAAGGTTAGGAATGTACCCCAAAGCCTTACAAACAGAAAATAATGGGCCTTTGATGTTGGAAAACCCACTCTTTTCTCCCACCAAGCTCTGTACATGAAAATGGAGTGATGAAATTCACTCCTCCCACCACAAGAGCTTCCAAGCAAGCTTGATGTTGGCTCCAACTCTAAAACTCACAAGACTCACACTCACCCTTCCAAGACAACAGCAAAAAGGTTTCCAACAAGAGACTTTTCTGCCTCAAGTGATTACTTTCAAGTTGAATCAAGGTTTGATCAACTCAAGGAAGAAGAAAATGGTGTGGAGGGGTGTTCTTCAAGATGAGAGTGTATTGGCAAGGTGTGAAGAGACACAATCAGCAGCTGAAGGTCACGTAGAGTTATGCAAAATGGCCTAGGATTTTGTGCACCATTCCTATTTATAAGTGCCCTTAATTAATTCGTTGGTATTAGTTCTGATAGCTCCGCTAATCATTTTAATCTCAAACTTTATATTCTGAACCTAGCCAAATTTCTAGGAATTATCATATTTTTATTATAATTTTCGCAGCACTTTGCTGGTACGCACTTTATACGTAGTCGGTACTAGTTCTGACATCTACACTCATTATTCTTACTCCAAACTTGATATTCTTGACCAAGATATTTTCCTAGGAATATTTATATTTTTATTATAATTTTTTGGAATACTTCACTGGTACGCATTTATACCGTGAAGCAGAACCAGTATTTGCTCTTTTCATCAGAAAAGCGATTTAAGCGTTATTTGACCTTTTGGATGATTATTCTAATCTTTATATATATATATATATATATATATATATATATATATATATATATATATCCAAAGTCAATTATGGAATTATTTTCTAAACTTATAATTAAATTATTTAAATTCTTAAATTATCGGTGCGGGTTCTTAGAGATTAAAGTAATATACTTTAATTTTTTTAAATAATTTACTTTGAAAATTATTTAAAGTGATATAGTTTGATAATTTTTTATCCTGTGAGTCCCACAAAGGTAATATACGTCGGTCAGATGGTGATGACACGTGATATGCTTATGATGTCCGCATGGTAAAAAAAATCAAATTGTTTCACTTTGATAAATTATTTTTAGAGTATATAATTTTAATTTTTTTTAAGAAAATATAATTTCCATCAATCAACCAACAAAATAGCATTAAAAACTCAGAATATGCTAGATCTTACATATATGCAAAAACTTACAAAATTTAATATGCATCTAATATCTAAGAAAACTAGGTGCACTATAGAAGCCTGCAACGGCAACTCCAAGCTTAGGATCTCTAGACATACTCCACAATTACAATTAAAATAGCTGGGGCATTTCAAGCATGAGTGTAAAGCAATATAAGGAGCACCTAGATGAACTGAAAGTTGTTGTTAAAGCTCTATCAATCATATTGAGTTTGAATCTTACATATATTAAAATTTTGGTATGAAGAGTATTGTTATTTTTTAAGATCTAAGGAGCCTCTAGTGTTGTTGCTGTAATTAAGATCTAAGATTTGAAATTAGAGAATGCCAACACACTCTTTTCCCTTCCCATTAAAAATAGTCCGGAAGATTTACAAGTAGCCATCAGCAAAGATGCATGTTCGTGATACGAAAGTAAATATTTTCTTTTCTTTTATTACAGTGAAACTTTAACATATAGTTCAATACACACTACAAGAGATGACATGCATCTCCAATAAAGTTCACTAAATATAAATGCATTCGGAGATGAAAAAACAAACATCCTTCTTATTCATATCATAGTGACACTGACTATTCAGCATCCAAGCCAGTCCCATTATTTTTTTTCTTATAACTTATGGTGCTATGCCCCAAGAAGATGATCATCAGAGTCTTTAGTAACCTTGGTTAAGTAGTCCAAGTAGCCATAAGGAGGTTCAACATTCTCATTGATCTTCTCATATTCAATAGTCCATTTAGCAGTTGAACCCCCACCGCTCTTATCAATCACTTGTACGTTGAGCTTAAAGATCTTGTACTGTTGAGCGATATCCCCTTCAAAGAGGTTGAATGTCATTGACTTGTTCTCTTCATCAAGATGTTCAATCTTCTCCTTACATGTAACAACCTTACCGTCTGTGTTTTTAAGAATATAAAAATCAATAAGAAATAGCATATGAATAGAAAAATGAAAAATAACTACTTAATTAATCCTTTTTGGTTCACATAATAATCCATAAAGTTTAATTAATTACCTATTGTATAAGTCCAATGCTTAACAGAATCAGGGCCATGCCAATCGTCGCCCTGATGGATCTTGCCTCCATGTATTCTATCAGTGATGTTCTGAACATGGTGAAGTTGCTTCGAGAAGAGGTTGAAGAATTTTGAAGCAGGTGTCTTGATACCAAATTCGGTAGTAATTTTACCAGTAAGAGCCATGACTCAAGAGCCAAACCAAAAATAAGGAGTAGCAAATGTAACAAATAAGGAGAGAGATACCGAAGCTTATGCAGCTTTTTTGGTACTTAAATAGAAAATAATAGCTTACTCACTAGAGCAAACTCAATTATTGTACCATCAATAAGCGATCTGCTCAAACTTTGCTCTGGATTAAATAACAAAATTTTAGAAATTTCTAGCTATCATTTACATGTAGATATTGAATTATTTTCTCAAACAGTAGATAGTTGGCTCATACTTTAAAGAATGTTATTAATAAATACGGTACATGTTTAATATTTTTGAATATAGAAAGGATAAAAATTTTATAGAGAATCTTATCTTTGCATGTTTACAGAATATCTTCGAATTTGAATTCATAACCTTGTAATCATAAAATAACACTTTTACCACGCTTTGGGACTCGCCCTCTTAAATGAGTGATGCTGATGACTATAGTTGAAATAAAAAATACTCCCTATGTTAATGGATGTATTCTAACCGAAAGCACCGTAACGTTTCAACGACTCTGTACTTTCCAATTGTTTAAGATTGCTTTATCACAAAACAAATAATGAATCCCATTATTATTTTTGAACTACTCAAAGTTTCGTGATATATATTATAATGTTGCAAGTGGTTTAAGTTGGTCAATGAAATTTTAAATCCAAGTGGCAAATGTAAAATAATTTTGAAGGCGGCAAATGCACAAGACTTTAAATTTTTAAATATTCTATTCGATTTATCGTTTCGCAACTAGTCCGATCATAGAGAAAATGATCGAAGACATGCAACCTTTATAATGTTATAATCTATAACACGAATTTTAAAGCGGCCCACCCTCTTCTTATGGAAAATGCGCAAGAAGACGAGTGAAATTATATATGTTGCTCTTGAATTTTATAAATACCTTTTAAAACATTAAACAGACCGTCTCTAGGAACTGGGATGCTATACAAGCTTTGAAAAATCAAAATCAAAAATTAAATTTAGAAAGAAAAATAAGATTCTCAAGCAGCTTTTCTTAATGTTTGGAAAACTTTTACTTATTAATTTAAGCCATAAAGTTATTTTCGTAAAATGTCTTTCATAGAAAGAACACGGAATATCACAAAAAATAATGAATGATATATTCATTACTTTTGGAGTTAAATATTTTATTTTATTTTGTTTTTAAATAATTTGTGTTGCTTTTAGTGGTCGTTATAGGCTGTGCCGTAGTATAGTGTGTTTTTAATTTCTGGTAAATATTTTAATTAATGTAGATCTGTAAAGCAGGTAATAGTCAGAGCTAGCTTTTCATTTGGAAAATTGTTTACTTCATCAGTACTTTGTGGCTTTAGAATTTACTGGTAGTGAAAGGTTTCTGATAGGCTCGATAATGTTGTTTGCTTGCTGAAACTTCCATTTTTATTAGTTCAAGATATGGGAATTGACTAGGCTATTTTTTTTATTTTTTTTTTGGTAAATACTAGGCTATTTTGCTCCTAATGAACATTGTATGCAGATATTGAGAAATTAAAAGAAATAATGAAATTGAGAGATACTTAAGTTTATATATGCAGCCTTGAGCCTTGTGCGTCTTAACTCCTTAAATAGAAAATAGCTTACGCACAATAACAAATTCAATTATTGGATCATCAGTAAACGATCTGCTCAACTTTGCGTTGAATAGAAATAATAAAATTGAGAAATTTCTACCGACTTTTTGACCCGAGATTTAATTGATTAAATATTTTTCTTTAATTGATTAAATTGAATATTTAATCGATTAAAACTTATATTTAATCGATTAAATATTCATTGAATTTAAAATCCCAGTTTTTTTTCATGTTATGCTGGTGTTTCTTCAATAATTTTCTAATTGTTCTTGTTTGTTCTTTGTTGAATTCAAAATCCTTTTTCTCTTGTTCAAAAGTATATTTTTTATTTCTCTGTCCTTGGCCTTGTCCTCTAATTTGTTATCTCCATTCATACATCTAATGGGAAGGTCACGGATTGTGAAAAGATTCGGTATCTGTAATACATGACTAATTCACTTCTTTCGTTTGTGGAACAAATTCTTGAAGAGCAAAGTCATGATGAGCATGAGATTGAAGCTTAGATACAAGGTTTTAAGCTTCAGCTCTCTCATAAGTAAAGTCATGAACAAATTCACTTCTTCCTTAGTTGTTCACCATTTAATTGATTAAATATTCAAGTTAATCGATTAAAGATAAACAAATTGATGGATAATTTTGAATAAGGGACAAAATAATTATTAATTAATTAATAAAGGGCAAAAGAGTCAAAAAGTCAATTTCTAGCTATCATTTTCATTTGAATATTGAATTAATTTCTGAAATAGTAGATAGTGGACACATACTTTAAAAAATGTTATCTTACCTGCTTCAACTCAATCGACAAAACAATAGATAATATTGTAATTATTGAAAAATGTTAACATTTTTTTATTATTAATTAAGAAATGTAGTACTGAATTTTTTTGTGTTTTTTTTTTTTTGTGGTTTAAAATTTCTAAATGTCGTTCTTGATGGATTTGGAAGAGATTTCATTTATGTATAATTACTTGCGATACTATTTTTCTAGATGATCATTCCAATATTTCCCTATTTTGCTCAGTCATGTAACATTCCAAATAATTCTTTAAAGGATTTAAAGTTTATCATGTCGTACTCGTGGGAGATAAAATTATCTCTTATATATATATATATATATATATATATATATATATATATATATATATGAAAATGTGTGAGGTCCATATGATACCATTTGAGGAGAAGAGAGAGAAAGAAAAAAAAGTAAGCCACGCATATTCTTATGTGTGTAGAAAACAATTTTAAAGTAGGCCACGCATATTTTTATGTGTAGAAAATAATTTTATCTCCTACTTGATAAACTTTAAACCTTTCTTTAAACTAATTAATGATAACTCTGTTTATCTTGCTGAATTACTTTCTACCAAGGTTTATTTTCCCGATGTCTCCAACATATATAATGAGAAAAATGTGTGTCATTTAAATAATACAAATTGTGCTTACCAAAAAAAAAAAAAAATACAAATTGTGTAATTACAGACACAAAAAGATGGGATCCATTGAAAAAAAATAAAGACAAAAAAAAAAGTGTGAGACTCATACCTTTTTGTGTCTATGAAATGACACAATTTATGTAGTTTAATATGACACATCTTCCACTTATATAATTATCTTTCAAACAATGTTTTTGGGATTCAAAATTATGTTGTCCCGTTATTTTTAATTAGAATTTAGTAAGATTTAACATGCATGAGGAAGAGTGTTAAAATATATGAAAGATGTCTCAGAACATTTTAATTATATCTTAGATAATATATAGTATCATAAATGTACCAATAAATACATTGTATGCTCAGGCTCAGCCATCAAATATTGAATGATCAACACCCAACAGTTATTATATTCTATTTTTTAAGTTTTACTTTCTTTTCTTCTTTCCCTATTTAAGTTTTTATAATTTTAACATGTAGTTTTTAAATAAATCGAAGCATCAATAAGTTGATCGCATACTTTATTTTAAGGGTTTATCATCTATCATTTAACATGACCACAAAAATTTTCCTACACACACAATATTTTGGGGGGCCCGCAGCAAGAAAAAAAAAACTCCAGCACGCAAAACGAATCTCTATAACATAACACAATCACTTTTCCTACAACATAACTCTTATAAAACTCTTATTTTAAATGGGTTATTCTGACTCTCGTATAATGATTAGCAGATGAAACTAATAATTTTGTTTACGCTAATTACATCGACAACGATCAACAGTGGCGGAGCCATTGTAGCATCGGTCCTGACTAAATTTTAATAAATAAATACAATTATATAATTAATTATAACTTGTTCCGAGCTACAATTGGTAATTTGGCCTTATCTAAAACTTAAAATATTTTTGATGATAGATTTGGATAAGTTGTATTAGATTATGTGTTCAATTTCTACTTGTATAAAAAAATATTTTTAGTAAAATTAAAAAATATTTAATAAAATTATAACTCTTTTAGTATTATTTGATATGGTGCTCTGTATTTAATATAATTTAAATATATTATGATATAAACTAACTAAAATTAAGAAAAATAAATACACATATAATTTTTTAGCCTGAACTTAAATTGAAGTCCAGCTCTCCCGCACTGACGATGAAGGAAATTTTTTTATTTAATTCTTTCCCGCATATCTCAGTGGTGTAAGTTTTAATTTGGGATGTGACATTTATCCCGAAACTGTGCTAGCATCTAATTTGTTATTGTGGAGTGGTTCATGAGCCAAGTGGTGAGAAGTGATGAATTTGTTGTCGTGGCTTGCCTTTAGTTATCTAGACCTCGATTTGCAATAAACTTTGGTTAAGGAAAAGACTTATTAGGTATTTATGTCGAGGTCTGATTTGAAAACTTCTTGTTGTTTTATGGCCATAGTTTTCAAACTAGAAGATTGTGTAGGGTAAAGATCACGTGTATGCACGAAAAAAGTGTTTTTCCCATTTGAAAATTTTATTTCTCTCTGATTTCTTTTTTAAAATATCTTATATTTTTTTTCTCATTCCGTATTTTTTTTAGAAAAATTTAAAATGATGTTATTTTGAAATTACAAGAATAATTTCATTTTGTATAACATAACAATATATATATATATATGGGTAAAGGATTTCTCCAGTCACCGGAGATAAAGTTATCTCCAATGAACTCAAAACGACGTCATTTTGGAGCGGAAATCAAGGTATTTTTGTAATTATAATATATTGCATAGTTATATTAGTCTTTATCATTATAATATTTTAATCTTATAACCCCAAAACAACGTCATTTTGAGCTCACTAGAAATAACTTTATCTCCCGTGACTGTAGAAATATTTTTCCCATATATATATATCTATATATATATATATAAAGGAGAGTTCAATGTTGGAAACTTCGTTGATGTGTCACTCCCAGCTTAATTCTGAAAATTGTGTT